AATAACCGGCCCGCCGGGGAACGCCGTCACAGGCGCCGCCCTGTTTACCCTCCGGCTACAGACGAGCCGCCGGGGTCACGGGGTCGGCGACTTGAGAGGCGGCCGCGCCACGGACGCGGCGACGGAAGAGCGCTGCCGCCGGCGGAGGTGGCGCCCAAAACGGGAGCACAGCGCCTGTCACCAAATTAAGAATCCAGGTTCGAAATATGCGAATATTTGACCGAATATTCGAATTGGGCAAGCAAATAAAAGTAAGCTAACCAAGCAAGCATCGGAATCGGTAATCAAATATTCGAGAGCAGTATAAGATCCTCTGGAAAGGCACATGGCTCCTCGCGGAACACCCAGGATAAATTTAGGCCCAACCGGTAACTTTACCGTCCCGTGGCCGAGGTATACGGCTGAGTACCTTCAGTAAGTTTCAACTGTTTCGAGTGGCATGGCGAGCCAGCCACGCTGCCGCGCTGACGCACCACTGGCGTACCAGGTACGCCACGTACCAGGTACACCACTGGTGTACCAGGTACCCACAGCAACCACGCTGGAAGCAACAGTGCCTTAAGAATTGCAGAGTTGAGATCGAAAGGTTCACAATATGACATGTTTCGTGGGGGTTCAGTACACAATGTCGCAATCGTCTACCAATGCACCAAAAATGTTTTCAAGGCCCAGTTTCTCGGCCTTGATCTATTTACACCCGTGTCAACTGACCGCATACACTCTTCATTGGTAACGCCACCAGAAAGCTAGGTATGCCCACCAGGCGTGCATTTTTCTCAAGATGATTTGGCAATTTACGTCAAATTGTGAACATTGAAGTATATCTTCCAGAGCACCTGTAAACAGAGGGCAAATCGAATTCCCAGCTCTTCCTGTCTCTTTGATAGGTTACGGGCGTGCTCTGTATTTCACAGTCGCACTGGTCCCTGGAATTCCGTGCAGTATTCCATCGGCAGTTCGTTACCAATGCGTGAGCTTTACCATTCATTTCACAGATTTAACGACGCTTTAATATCATATCCGTTTTATGTAGTTGCCTTTTTTAATTCAAACCAAATTTACTTAAGTGTCAATTTCATAAATTCAATTAAAAAATCAAATTTATGATTCAAGATATCCTTATTTAACATCCTAGTTTATCTAGCGTCGCGAATTCTCAAGCAGATCGGCACAAGGGAACCTGGGCCTGCATGGCCGGCAGTCTGATCTGCAGCCAGCCCGCCACCGTCGCTCGGTCCGTGAGCGGCGCCCTCTGAACTGACCTGCACCACGCCGGGCGTTTGTGTTCCCCACACCGCTGATCTGAAACTGAGCTGCACCACATCGGGCGTTTGTGTTCCCCCTATCGCTTTTCTGAAACTGAGCTGCACCACGGCGGGCGTTTGTGTTCTCCACATCGCTGAAATGAAACTGAGCAGCACCACACCGTGCGTTTGTATCCTCACATCGCTGATGTGAAAGCACAATTACAAGACCGAGTTGAAACGGATTGAATGTTTCTGTTTATTACCCTCCGCGGACCGCAACCTTTAAAGCAGAGGACAATGCCGTGCCTCCAGGATACACGATGACCACGAAATCAATGCTGCCGACGGCGGCCGGCCGGGCGGCGCAGTGCACTGCACAGAGCGGAACCAACAGTTGGCCGGCGCCGGCGTCCCTGTACCGGCCGGAACACAGGCGGGGGTTCGTCGGCACGGCTCATTGACACAGCCCGTGTCAACGAGCACATCCGGCGCCGCGAGGAGCCGGCTCGGAGGCGATCACGGCCGCCGCCGCGGGCCCTCCCAGCCCCCGCCGGACCGGCCGCCAGACCGCCCGACCGCGCCAGCAGGGCAACCGCGGGAGACAGCCGGAGGCAACGAGGTCAAGCCAATAATTCACAGCGGGGGCTTTGAGTGTCTAACGGAGCTGAATCGAAGCATGCATACAGCTCAGCTGAAATGTGAAAAACAATCGGCCGTTTCCCATGCCCGCTAGTATGCTAACGTATCCTATCGAGCAGATACACGGAGGCGAGCGGCACTGGCCTGAAACTTATCACTCGTGATCAAAAGAGTCCAGCCTTAAAAATGCTAGATGCAAGATAGGTATATGCACGGCTTACGAGCATTTGCATGTGAATTGCAATACGCCGCACTTATCAAGACATGTTTAATGGATCAGTTCTATTCAGTGCTTGAGGTCATCAGGCACAATGAGACGGATATATTCTGGAACTGCATGCCTAATGGAAGGTGTATTTATCATGGAAGTTGCATTTGCAACAAGCCCACCATGTGATCATGAGAAGTCGGCCACGTACGCAGAAGCCGACCGCTCGGCCAGCCGTGGCTTGTCTCTGATTAGTTCCCACCACGTGCCCTTAACGACACCCCATCCGTGTCGTTAGTGTTGTCTCATCAGCAGCCCGAGCGCGGCGGTGGCGGCTCCACGGCTGGCTCCAGGCCCGGTCGCCATCGGCGCCCATCGTCACCGCTGGCGGCGCCCGGCTCGCGGCCGGCGGTCCGTTGGTGACGACACGGCACACGGATCGGGCTCGACCCCGAGTCAGGGCAGGTCAGGGGCAGAGCAGAACCGGCGCTGGGCGTCTCCGACTGGCCCGCCGCCGCAGTGTGCCGCTGAGGCTCGGAACCAAAAGAGCACCGAAAGAGTAGGGCGGTGGTCGACACATACGTGGATTAGCAAAGCCAATGTCAGATGCAGTCGGCTCAAGACACATCTCGTTAAAGGTTTTCTTTCCACTCAGTTTGGCTCCTGGTCATACGCGTCCTATATCCTCTAAAGCAGAAAATACCGTAGGCGGTTGTATACAAAGCTGCATGGAACAAGAAAAATCAAGGCACGAGGAGATGCTACTTGACAATTTTGACAGGTTAAGGCAAAATTGTCTGGTATTTAGGCAAATTGGCTGCAGGCATGGGCATGCGTCCAAACACATTACGCACCTGAATCCTGCTTATAAGATAAGCGACCAATTTGTGGGCTCAGTATCCCTTGAGCTTCAGCTTCAGCTAAGATTCTGGTTCAGCGTTCATGTGTTCTCTCTGCGCATGTGCCTTAGTCTGATGGTTAAGACCATGGCCCAGGTTCCTCTGTTCTAGAGCGACCTAAAAGGGAACGTTCCACATTTGCAGATAATTGACATGCTTGTAAGCCGTAAAGACTGCTTTAGACAACCTACTGTCTTTATTTAGTCAACATGCTGCTCAATACATCATTGTTTGATTGCGTCGTCGTAACTTGCACAACATTGATAGAGAGCCAATTGGCGGTCATTGCATTTGGAAATCGTGCTCTTAAACGCCAGATATGAACGACTCAAAAACTACACTCTACTTGGTCTTGGTCGCCGCGTGGCCATTAAAATGACAGGATTTGGATGACGTTATTATGACGTCATGGACGTCTGGGTGACCTTAAAATAGTTCGCACATCTTCGTGGGCGTGCAGTCCAGAAACTAGAGGATTTATGTCCTAGGTTTCTTTTTTTAAGGTTTTAGAAGACCAGGGTTGTAAACTGTGCTGAATGATTTTCAACCTGGCCATTGCAGTTCAAAACTCTATACAAATTTAGAACATTCCGTTTAATTTTCAGAGCGTGCCTTAAGATCGAAACCTAATCACTAAGTGACGTAGGGATGCACGTGTGATTCCTATTCGCTTAAACGTAATGTCAGTGATACGGAGCTTAATGCAACATAAAAAGACAGCCACAGGCGTGCCTTGCACAAATCTATCAAAATGAGATTAAGTTGCAGGCGATCGCTCAGAAAAGTGCAGCGCCGGCTGTGTCAGAGCGTCGGTCTACCCGTTTGCTGTCGCGCCGTGCCTGTGTGCCTGCGCGTCGGGCGGGCTGCGGCCACACGGGCGACCCAACCGTCACCCAGCCTTCAGTGTGCAGTGGGCTCGGAGGTGGAGAGTCAAAGCGGCCGAGCCATATTTAATGACACGTGGGCCTCGGTGTGAGTGAAAGTCCAGGCACGGGGGTTTCCGTGATTTTTTAGTGCAAGTCTGACAAACGTTCACTTTGAGTTGAGCCTGAGCACCAGTCTGACTAGAGCGTTTCTTTTAATTGGAGAGTCATGCTCTGATTCTGTCATCGATGAAATGCCTCGATCCGCCTGAGGCCAAGTCCCAAATGGCCACCAGTCCGGATTCCGGGTCTGAAGGGAATCGGGCCGACGTGCACGCTTAAGCCATGGGGTCAGTGTCCATACAACAAGCTATGCTCAGCGCAAATCCCCATCCCAAAGTCTCTCGAGCAGTCGAGTCACGCAACTTAAGCGACAGCAGGAAAGGCGTCGTATAGGGATTGGACGAGAGGGCGGCTGGAATATTTACATAACAGCACCGCCACCGAAAGGCCAGTGGGCCAGCCAAATGGGCGGTTCACGGGCAGAATGCGATGTAAACCCGTGGCAACCAGCGCTACGCGCACATTGATTTCATTCGTATTCGACGAAAACGCAGTGACTGAACTTAAGCTAAAAGCTCCACATCCTCTCCGCAAGATTAGATCCGCAGCCTTTCACTCCCCATTGTCATGCCAACAGTCTTGAAAACGCGGCGTCTTGGGGCTGGTCTTGACGGAAAGACAAATGCGACCCAACCTCTCCGCTAGTTCAGGGAGCTTGCAGCCGTCTCAGGCACGCCGCGTTAATCAAAATAGTACACGGCTAGCCAAAGTAATTGTGTGTTCCCGGAGGAGTTCGTTAAGAAAGTGTATGCTGCATATGCATGCATATAGGCATATTGAAATTGTGTGTTCTGGGAAGAGGCTTCACGAACATCATTCTGGCTGAAGTTCAAAACTTCTATAAAGATGCGACTATTTTTGAAGTGCCTGAAGAGGACTCACTGGGACGCACCACTAAATTGTACAACGGCAACATTCATTTGCCGTTACCTGTATAACAAAGCAAACATTCGGCCGGATTCTGGCACAAATGTGCGGCTGGACGCCCTCCTCCGGCGACCCGGCCGGGTACAATACTCACACTGAATGTTAAGCGATGCGGCCAAGCTGGTGAGGCTGAAGCCGGTCGTCACGTTCATGGCGATGCAGGTGAAGTGGCCGGCATCGCGGTGTCGGTCGACTCGCGTGATGTGCAGGTCACTGCCGCGTTGGAAGCGGCGGCTCGAGTTGAGGACCGTCTCGCCGTCCAGCTGCCAGTAGAAGCGGATGAAGCTGGTGTTGGAGACCATGCACTCGAGGTCGACGCTGGCGCCCTCGCGCACGGCCAGGTTCTGCGGGTGGCGCGAGAAGTAGAAGTCGTCCAGCGTAGCCCCGGCCGTCAGCAGGACACCTGCGGCAAACAGCACGGTCAGCGGCAGCAAGGTCAGCCTCAGCACGCCTGCGGCAACAGCAGGGTCGGCCTCCGCACGCCTGAGGCAACAGCAGGGTCAGCCTCAGCATGCCTGAGGCAGCAGCAGGGTGAGACACAGCATGTCTGAGGCAACAGCAGGGTCAGCCTCAGCACGCCTGAGGCAACAGCAGGGTCAGCCTCAGCACGCCTGAGGCAAAAGCAGGGTCAGCCTTAGCAAGCCTGAGGCAACAGCAGGGTCGGCCTCAGCACGTCTGAGGCAACAGCAGGGTGAGACACAGCATGCCTGAGGCAGCAGCAGGGTGAGACACAGCATGCCTGAGGCAACAGCAGGGTCAGGCGACGGCACGCATGAGCCAAACAGCGAGGGTGGCGACGGATCGATATGGCTCGCGTCAGCGCACAGATCTAAGAAGATTGGTTCAGAGATGTGCGCGACTTGGACAGTACATGCGTTGACACTGGTATGGACAGCCACGCGGTTGTCTGGTGCCGACACGGACAGGTCGGCACCCCAGGTCAGGGTCACGCGCACCCCGGACGTGGTGACCAGCGGTACCTCGGGGCGGGAGGAACGGTCACAAAGGCCGGGTCGATGCCTCAGCAGAGTGGGAGAGAGAAAGGAGGGGCTCAAGAGCGTCATAGGCCGGTGTAAGCTGTTAACTGGTAGTCCCACGAGCCGCTGAGGCGCATTTTTCTCATGCATCATTTCGCTCGGACGATACAGAAGAACAAAAATAGGCAACCACATGAATATTTTTGCACCTGTATATAAGCACGCCGTGCAACTTACAAGCTTGCGAAATCAAAAATCATTCTTGGTCATGACTTATAATGTCATCAATATTTTGACCAACAATGTTGCTTTTGTCGTGAGTGATGCTATCTTGCTGTAGCAAGACATCACCAGACCAAAATACAGTGATAGGACATTATAAAGGCAGCCTAATGTCCAGACGTCCATCTCACACCACCTCGCATCACCTGGCCCATGATGGGTTAATGAGTATCAGTGCATCATTTTGCCTTGGATATTACGCAGATGCATTTGCTTCTGACGAGTTTTGAGTGATTTTTCTGTGGTCTCATGGAATTACAACAAATAAACACGCAAAGCATTTTACTATGAATAAAAGAAGCAATCTGATCTCACAAACTGACGTGACCCTGACTTACCGTAAGTCTAAAAGAATCACTATACAAATTTTGTTGCCTGATAAGTAGATTTGCAACATGTGTGTTCCCTGACATGAGGCCCTCTAGCTTTTCACGACACTACGGTCTGTAAACATGTAAACATACCTCTCATGATGACACAAAGAATGCATTTGAGTCCGCGAGCTGATATGACGTCATCTGACTTAAGGCCAAAAACTGCTGGAATAGCAAGTTTAAGTTTAACACGCGCCCGGGCGGCCGGCTAGATACCGTTCGCTCGGGTGGGGGGAGTCAATTTGACCACCCCCCCCATGATATCTCGGGACCTAAGAAAGCTAGGGGCACCAAATTTACAGGGTGTCTTGACCTGTACGTGAACTCCCTTAGGTCAAAGCTTGAGCCTCCTAGGTCATGACCTTCAGGTCAAGTAGGTCAAACAATGTCAAGTTCTAGGTTGGTCTCCAAAGTGCCCCCAGCACCTAGGCAACTGTTTCCAAGCAAAATGTCAAAAGCCCATTTGAGGTCAGTTACCTTGTTTGGCCTTTTGAAGGTTGTGGTGACCAAAATCATACAAGGCCTCTCTGAGTTTTGCATTTGAATAATCGACAAAGATAACGCTAGGCGGTATGTTCCTAAAACAAATTGTCAACCCGGGTCATCTTAGGGTCAACGACCTTTTCTGACCTCTTAGAAGGCAATGGAAGATGTATGATGCGGTTCCTGCTGCCAATAAATTCGAAATGGGCACCACAAACTATCCCATACAGCAAGCCCTAGAGTAATAAATCAGGTTGGCTGTGACCTTGGTCTGACCTTCATACCTGACCTTAGGTCAACGTGCTCATTCAATATTTGTGGTGCCTAAGAAAGGATCTCAGAGATGTATGACTTCGTCAAACACTCCGTTATTGTATCAGATTGGACGATTCCCTAGAAACCGCCTTTGCTGAAACCATGACCTGACTTTGACTTGCCCTAGATCAGCGACCTTACAAGGTACATCTAAATATTTTATGCCAAACGATCTGCGATTCAACTGTCTACAGCCATGCACAATTTGGCGTGGCTTCGCCGCGCCGTTTGGAAACCATTCTGAAAAACCCTTGGGGGGTCAATTTAACCCCCCACCCGAGCACGTGTTAATAGTTAGAACTATGAGCTTAGTCTTATTTAGTAGTAATTACTGCATGCGTCAACACGCACCTCACGTTTTACGTCTTACAATTTTCAAAGCCCACTGCACAACTCTGTCATCGGATCCAGTAAAATATTTTCCCTGACCTGACCTGTGACGTAATTGGTGGACCTCAAAACAACAAGACGCATCCACTACCTGCAAATGCAAGGGAACGAATCACTGTTTTATCATCTCGATCTGTTGAATCGTCACAAAAATAGAAGCGCGGAAAAGCACGCCCCCAGCGAGTTGCCCGTGTGAAGCACATCAGGGACTGTCGTATTAAATTACGTAACAGGGCGTTACAGCAACTTATTTTATTAATGTTTGGTCATGAAAACTAAGTTAAGGCTCCAATCACGTGTGACATAATTATCTGAACTTTAGTCCTCGTCTGGTGTGTTAAAATGAGCAGGATTCGGGCGTCCCTGATACTCGCCTAAATGGTCTAAATACTCGCCTCGTCCCTAAATATACTCGCCTAAATCGCTCCGTAAGACTGTTAAGATTACGACACATAAAACTTGTGCAGCGGAAGAAATCTGCGCCTTCCTCATTTCCCTATGATTAGATACAGAAAACTGTGAAAATTGTAGCAACTGGGCTCAGCCCCGTACTTATTCGTTGGGTTCGATCCCTTACATGCGCCCTTCTTTTCTCATTTTCGTTCCATCCTGCATCCTCGCGACGCCCCATTTATCCGGGGCAAGTGATAAACGTCAGCCACGAGCGGGCCAAGGCCCCTGTCGGGGGCTCCGTCTGAGCGCCGAGCACATATCCCGTACAAGGGATAGCCCGTTCGGGCTAGGTCTCGGCGGATGAACCAACAGGTGCAGGTAGCTTTGCCCCACGATTTTTCACTCTCCTTCATCTCATAGCGCCGAAATAGCCATAGCCAAAGATAGCCGAACAAGCTGTAATCCAATCCAATCCAATCCAATTCAAGCCAAATCAATCTCGTAATATCACGTGCCGTGCGGTACGTGATACAGACGGTACAGCGCCCCCCACCACAGATGGCCTGGTACAGGGGTACCCGTTTGCAGCACTGCAGCGAGCCGCGAAGGGGCAGCGGAGCCCATCGCATGGCGTTGTGTGTCGGACACGGACGACACCCGAGCGCCTGGCACGAACTTTGGGAGAACCACAACGGGGAGTCCTCACTATGCAAAACATTTAATAACTTAATGCGGTCTTTCTGCCTAATGGGATCTCCTACCACTCGTCAAGCTGATGGCTTGGATAACTGGGCTATATGATCACGCTTCCAGGCACCGGTAACAACGCTGGCAGCCAAGTTCAGGGAACGTTCTCCCGGAAATGGTGCTCGTCTTGTTGACCTATCGTCCGTCGCCGCAGCTCGCTTGGTTTCATCGCCAGCCCTCCGACTCACCCAGCCGTAGCGAGATAGATTCGCATCGTTTTAGACGAGATGGGCTCGCATCGCTTTAGGCGAGATGGTTCGCATCGCTTTAGACGAGAGGGGTTCGCACCACTTCAGGCGAGACAGGTTCGCATCGCTTTAGGCGAGATGGGTTTGTATCGCTTTCGCATGGGACGACCTGCAGCCGTTGGCGGCGGGCGCGCTAGAGGTCGAGTGACGTCATCGTGCAGGATAAGCTTGGGAAAGCGTGGCTCCTGCTTGGGAAAGAGCCCGCTAGGACCCAGACCGTCACGGGGCGACTGATCGGAGAATTGCCGGCATCAGTGGGCTGACTGACATAGGGGACCTCACTGTCCCGGGTCGGTGCAAGGGGCCCTCCGACTGACATTTTAGCGTCCAGCCTTCGGGCTGGGCTTTCTTCATATAACTTCCGGGCTATCCCTCCAACTCTACGATCAGGCTCTTGATCGTCGGCCCCGAGAGACCTAAAGGCCCTTGGGGTTCTTGGAACCCTCGGAACCTAAGGGCCTAAGGTCGGTGACGTCAGGGGTAAAACAAGCTTCTGATTTCCCGGATATGGTCGGTGACCAAAAATAAACACCTTTGCAGGTCTATTGGTGACAAAATTGAGAGAATCAAAACGCATTACAACAGACTAGAAGATATTACAACAGACCATGCCAGCTAGGCGAAGCTCGAAGCTTAGCATTGGTCTGTACTCGCTAACGTTTGCAGCGAGAGCATGAAAAGAGCACATGTTGAAACGTTGACGTCTCGCTGCATGAGCAAGTTGAGCCACAAGATGTTGCCAAAAACAGTATCTTTAATCAGGATAGTTTCTAGCACGTGGCAGGAATATACTACAAACTATACTTCGTCAGTGCTGACGTCGCAGATCCGTGATGACACAGTGCTTTTCCAATGTCCCTCACATCAGTGCTTTTCCCAGATTTATCCACCAAGATTCACTTCACATACTTAACAGCATAAAATACCAAATAGCAAGGCTTATTACTAGTCCTATGAATCGTGGCTGACCACAGCATCTTACGACGAATGTGTGATCAATTTGCTACGCGTCGTTTTAAAGTGTAGTGCCATTTGAGGCAGATAGTCTCGAATGTTCGCCACGCGGTAATGAATTGGATTCGTGTCGTGAGCAGCTGACTGGCTGGAAAAACGTAGCTAATCGTCAGTTTTTTTAAGTTGCTGTGCGGCTTTTCTAGTGATCTACCTTGGACATTATCCCTATTTATAGCGTCA